ATGTCCAGCAGAGGACAGTTATAGGCTGTTGATGATTGATGTTGGGTGCTTACAGCATAAAAAGCATCATCAGCTAAAATTTCAGGCTTATAGCTCCAGGTATTTAGGCTCAGGTGAATCAGTTAGTGCAAGATATTTTATATGTAGTACCTACAGATTTTACTCGAAACAAATCACTGCACTTAATTCAGACACATGTATCATTGATAACGGCTATCAACACGCATCCATCTGGCTTAACATGTGGTTGTTTTTATCATATTTGTGGATTAAATACGTGATTTGTTAAACATATGGCTGACTGTCTTTTTTACACTCATTTTTTTGTCTGAAACATACCTACTGGTGTAATTCATTGTTTAAGTATCTCTGATGAAGTTAGTTGAGCTCAGAAAGCATAGCGTTTACCTGCCGTGACAGCTGTAAAAGAAGCCGTGGAAGAGGCATGGCTCGGCACAAATGGGCCGGCTCGAGCGGAGTGATTACAGGACCTCACAGAAAACCGTTGTTAAACTCAAAATCAACATTTCTTTACTTCGTAAAAAAAAATAACATTGTTTGAAATCGTCCTTATGTAGACTCTAAAGTCATAGATAACAACAATCTGTTTTGTCAAATATTTAGCAAAAGAAATATTTACTTATCGAAAATCTATACTAATATTATAAAGCTGAAGAGTTTGTTTGTTTGTTTGTTTGTTTGAACGCGCTAATCTCAGGAACTACTGGTCCGATTTGAAAAATTCTTTCAGTGTTCGATAGCCCATTTATCGAGGAAGGCTATAGGCTATATATCATCACGCTAAGACCAATAGGAGCGGAGCACCAATGAAAAATGTTTCAAAAACGGAGAAAATTTATTACTATTGAGAGACGCAGACGAAGTTGCGCGGGTCAGCTAGTCTATGATATAGGCGTGCCGATTTACAACCGCCCGTTTCCAAGGGGTTGAGCCTCATGAGAAGAAAGGGCAAACAAACTCACGGCCACTCTTTTTCATTTCGACCAAACACCTCCTGTTTCCTGGAGCCCAAATCCCCTCTCATTCTGGGGGGATGGCGTACTTAAAACGCGGCAACGTACTTGTGTCTCATGGGCGGCGGTAGTCGCATACCATCAGGGTGAGCCGTCCGCTTGTTTGCCTTCTACATCGTAAAAAAATGTCCTAAACACATTGTATTGAAAAACTGCTTCAGTATTAACGGTGTTATCAGGATTCAGTATCCTATTGTTGTTGTAATCTAATAGACCCACATGTATGGGTACAATGTAGCAACCTATTTTAATAATATATCGCAGTCCCCGACGAACACTATGGTAATCGCTATTACGATAGAATCGGGTTTATTAGATATTCGTTATCTATACACCCTATTACAATCATTGAATTTTTTTTATGATCGGGCGATGAATACTTTTGGATTTATCCATTCAATAATGATCTTTATGTTTTTGTTCAACGTATAACATAAGTGAAAAATTTACACGATCAATAACGCAAAAACCTATTACCAAATCTCAAAAGTCAACATTTTAGAGTAAGCGGCTATTACCATATTGTTCGAGGGAAAAATGACAGAATCAGAATCAGAATTTATACATAGGTACCGAAATGGTTATAACACCTAAAAATGATCATCGAATAAGCATGTTATTTATGTTTACCGTAATATTAAAGTCAGTTATATCATCGAATGCGATTGCAATGTCATTTTACGAATATAAAGTATATTAATATTTACCAAGGAACAATATCATAATGAACGATTACTACAGCAACACCGATTTGTGATTACAGTCGAACACTATCGTAAAGTTAGTTTGCGTTAATTTTTTCCATAGCTTATTTCAGTAATGGACATTTTCACAATTTTCTTACTGATAAAGAAAATTTATGATAAAAATTTAGTAAAAATCTAGTGCAAAAAAATATTTCCTTATTTTTGATAAAAGAATCTTCTTTTTAGTCTTGATAGTATTCAAGATATTCAGTTTTTATTTGCTCCTGTAAAATTGTTATTTTCCTATTACGATTTTGTTCGTCGGGGACTGCGATATGTAACATCTAATATTACTTTTACCTACATTGACAAATCAACATTTCTATTCTATTCTATTCTATATATTGGCATTTTATTTGACGCCGTTATGTCACGTAAAGATATGAAATAAAAACTTTAAAGAAAACAAAAGATGAAATAAAATAACACTTTATCTAGGTATAATAAAATGAAATATTTTTGGCACAAATTTATTTATGTAATTCTTTATGCACAAATGACAACTACAATGGCGGATTTAATGCCACAGGCATTTTCTCCCAGTCAACCTTTGGGTGGTGGGAAATGTCTGAGTAGGTGCACTAGAAATTAAGTTTTGTTTTAAAAAGATAATATTATACTTAATTGGGGAGATGGACATAAACCGTGGGATCGATAAATAAACATACTGAAATACACATACACATATATTTGCTGAGTTACACACATATATATAATATACACAAACAATATATAAAACTTACAACTTAACTAATATATAAAACGGTTTTGATGAATCTGCTGGGTGTCTGGAATGCGAGCTCGGACTTTCGTCTTAAATGAGAGGCAGATAGGTGCTTTCCTGATTTCGAGAGGTAGAGCGTTCCAGAGGAGGACAAATTGGATTAGGAACGAAGAGTGGACACACGCGAAGTATGAGTGGGACATAACAGGAGTGGATTGTTTTGTTCTGTTGTGATTAGAACATTTTTATTTGCATAGAATACAGGAAAGTACCAGGTACCACATTGGTGGTTCATCAATGCCATAATCTGCCATGTTTTGGCAAGCAATTGTACATAAAAATAAAAATATTTATCAACTAATTATCTGCTGAAATACTAAGGAAAGGACTAAACATTAAAATATGTTCCTATCGCATCTTCATGCCATGTCATGATCACCGTGCATTGAGACACACAATATCATCTTAAAGGTTAGGTTATTGTACCCTAGAGAAGTTTCACCTCAAAGGGGGAAAAGCTAAGAGATGATGAAACTTATTTTAAGATACCTTATTACAGTTTGTAAGATACCTTATTATACTTATTCTAAAATCATTTACCACTCATCATCATCAGCCTTTCGAAGACTTTATTTTTAATGATTTAAAGTTTTTATTTTTAATAATTTTTGTACGGCTCATTAATTTTTGTTTTTCTCCAAAACATAGATGCATAGCCTAACTCTGGTTGTGAGTCCATGTTTCAATTGACTATGAGAATAATCTATATAGGTATTGGCGGCTTATAGGATCGTGCTGATGTCGATTGCAGTGAACCATTGTTTTGTAACAGTGTTCATTATTAACGAGTACAGGCTCCGCGTCTATCTAGCTCGTACTTTTCTGTCACTTTTCACACCGTATTGTAACAAATCTATTATTATTTTATATACTCCTTTATGGCACATTCCTTTTTATATACATTTATATCATAATATAAAGCTGGTATATCATAATATACAGAGCAGGGTTCTGATTGAATCGGAGAGTCTACTATACTAGACCAATAGTTCTACTATTTAGAAAGCACGGTTTATTTGCATCCTTAGAGCTTGATATAAAAAGGGTAGGTTTAGGATAACGCTAGAGTTACACAACTATTGTAGCAATGATTATTGTTAAAGATCACAACACAAGATTAGAATAAAGTTAAGCGATTTGCTTATAAGATGTGGAGGTTTCAATCACACACAAGTGTAAGCAGTGAAGAAAAAAATAACCGTATTTTATTAAATAAAACCCAACATACAACTAACATAAAAAAAGTTACAAAAAATCTTTTAAATATGGTAAGAGATTATAATGTTACCTAAAAAAATTGTCGTTTAACAAAATAAGATTAGGTTGAATAGACAAATTTTTCGACACTAGATACTGATCCACAAACAAAATAATTAATCGTAAATTATTAAAATAATTAATCAAACGTAAAAATAATTAATCCTAACCTAATCTTAGTTACACAACAGTGTAAGGAAGGGTATTATCGAGTTAAGTGTTAGAGAGATAAAGGACCCAATTACGATCGTCTAGTGCAGCTGCCGTTACGCTCTTTACTTCGCGAGGTTCAAATGTCACAGATAGAACAACGCAATCACTTCAATTACCTGACCCTTGATTATACGATACATATGTTATCGTGTTTAGTCGAAGGATAAATAATTATCAATCAAACGGGATGAAAATATGGCTTGCTTGCTTTTTCACGAAGCTTTGTTCGCGGTTTTTTTTAATTTTGGTAGCCTTTAGGAACAGTATTTAATAGGGGGTTAAACGAGCAAACAGTTCAGCTGATGGTATCAGTACTACAACCCATGAAACACCAGCTACTCAACAGACACGAGTGCATTGCCGTCTTTTAAGTCCCCAGAATCAAGGTGAGGCCCAGGCCAAACCGGGTTTGGGCTCTGGTAATAGAAGTGACATCGAAACAGTTTTGGTTTTGTGCAGGTAAATGTGAGAAGCCCAAAGTCGATCTAAATGGCGTGAAACGGGAGAGGCCTATGTCCAGTAGTGGACTGCGATAGCCTAATGATGATGATGAAATGTTTCTAAAGGCTAGTTAAAGCCAGGTAATTGTCCGTTTACCAACCTTCTCTCTCTCCTTTTTCTGTTAATTATTTTTTGGTCCACTATTACTGTAGATAAATCTATTGTATCAGTGTAGGTATATTTTTGTTTATGTTCAGAAATATTAGTCTGTTTCTACAATAAACTTGCAATTTATAAATAAAAGCTAGCGATATAATGTACCTATATAAATGTTAAAAGAATTTTGGTAATATAGATTACCTGTAGCTATTTAACCCCTCCAGCTAATCTGGTTACTAAACTGTGTGGAAGATCCTCCCTTTGTGTTGGAGGGACATGAGGCCTCCTACACAAACGTTCCTCCACAACTCCGCAAATGCAACGCCTTTGTCCGAGATTATATAAAAATTTTACTTACAATTAATATCAATAGAAAGAGCAATCAAAGTTATTTATAAAATTATTCCACTGAACATAAAAAGCTCGAATAGCATTTTTTTTATTCAGGTGGTCCAATGCACTATACTTCAATGAATTAAGTGCTAAAGTCTTCAACAACCTTATATCTGAAGATCGGCTGGCCACACCAACAAAAGCCACGTAAAAGTCGTCAGATAAAGGCTCAGCTTCCCACACCCCAGGGTCGTCACTCGATAAGACTACTGGTAAGTCAAGACTTAAGAATATACTCAAAGGATGGTTACGCACATCTCTAACTAAGGATAATACAATATTCGATAGCAAATTCACTTCTAAGCCAATACCCTTATCAATTACATTTTTCATAACTATTGGATGCTTCGTCAGAGCGTATGCATGGCCTATTCGTTTAGCTCCAAGTAAAACTGCATCAATAAGATTCTCATCTGTTCTCGTTCCAAACCAATTTGTTTCACCCGCATGGAAGAAGAAATTTAGATCCTTTATTGTGTCTAAAACTACTGCAAGGTCAATTAAGGGTTTCACATCTTCTTGTCCGATTAAATCGAAGCCAGCTATTAATTCCGGCACTTCTTTACTTATTTCTCTTGCTATTTCTATGTTATTGACAAGTGATTGCTTATCCACTTGTCTTGATGAAGCATAAATTACTTTTGCTCGATAAAAACTAGGATGCTCTTTAACAAATTTATCGATTATTGTTTTATATAGTTTACTAAATGTTATTTTGTCGTAAAGCGTCCCATTTAAATCGTAAAGTTTATTTAAACCTGCTCTCAATTCTGCATACATAATATTATCATTACGAAAGGCTGTTAGAACATCATAGAGATACTGCTCAAAAACTGGTCTGAAGGACAATAAATCATAGACAGTTCTAAAGTGCTTTAGAAATCGTTTCCATGTCTCCTGGATGGTAGGGTAAACAATATCAGGGTTTTCTACAACCATAGTAAAGAGTTTCCTGATTTCTAAATCAAACTGAGTAATGTTCTTTGCGGCATATCTTACATTGCTCATAAGTTGCCAGCCAATGTCACATGTCGTATTGGGAGTTGTATTAGAAAACAAGAATTTAGTTTTCTTTCCAAAGCATACGTACAAGTTATCCATGTAGGTAATATTTAACATGTATTCAGGCCCCAAGATGGCTATATCGTGAATATGTAACACGGCCCCCTTAGGCATCGCTTTGATGATCCGGTACACTTTGGACTCTTTCATCTTGTCTTTGTATTTAAAAAAATGCTGTGAAAAATTGTAATACTGCGGGTGTTGAAATCCATAATCCACTTCAGTATATTTATGATTCATAAGACACTGATTCACAATAGATTCTTTATCACTAAGCGTAATGTTGCCGCCTAACATAACTTTTGATTCGAGCTCAAGGATTCTAGCGCGTTTTGCGTCGTAATCATTACTGTGTACTGTATAAATAAATAAGCAAATTAAAGCTGTTACAACCCGCATTATGTACAAACGCGTGGTTCCGTATGATGACAGAATGCAACTGTCACTTCTGACAGTTCAATAAATCCTGGCATCGCAATAGACGTCACATGTCAGTTAAATCTAACGTGACAACTGTGATGTGGGTAATTGGGTAATGTAAATAATGTAAACATAAGAAATAAGGTCAAAGATGGATGGTCACTTATCTGTTTATAGCTCATAAATTTGAAATAGTGTAAGGACTTAATAAATTATACATTTTGTTATTTGTTTTACTAGAGATTGCTTAACGGTCTTACATACAAACATTAAATAATTCCAAATATGATGTGCTTTCGTGCGCCATATTTGTGTTTAAAAAACGGTATGAGGGGTCTGTAGACTCCGGGTCGGAACGAAATTACTTTCGCCTTATGATATTATATTTTGTGTATTATGTGTATTATGTACTAGTTGTTATATTTTCATTAGGAGTTTTATTGAGAATAGGTTAGTTATAATTACCACGTAAAGTTTTTGATTTAGTTAGAAAAAGTCGCGCATTTTTTAATAATATATATAATCCAGTTTATTTTTCGCTTTTTAGTGTTTTTAGGTAGGGAGTTTTTGTTTGATGTTTTTGGGAACGAAGTTCCTTATCGCGCATTACACGCTCTGAGCGGATAGGGGCTAGATCGAAAAATGTGTAACAAGACTTTTTTTAGACATTTTTTCCTACAGTACGCACGCACTTGCTTAGGTCTTTCTGAGACCTATTATCGAGATATGAGGAATACCACCTAAGCAAATCGCCTGATGTTAAGTTTAGATTTGGGGGAATCCAAGTATGAGTTGCACTCCAATTCAAGTTTCCTAGCTCGATCACGCAAAAGGTTATATGTTGACTTATCTAAACGTCTCCCGTATAATAGGAACTTTCGCAAGTCCTTAGACTTTTTTAAATCAATGTTTCAGTCAATCAAAGTCAGCTACAGTAGAGTAAAAATAACTGACGGCCTCGGTGATTGATTTATGTCTAAATTCACTAGCCCAATCAATAGCCGATAATTTATTATTTATGGCTGTATAATCGCCTTTGTAATTGAGTATTTAAAGCCGGTGTTAAACATATACATTCAGCAAAGTTTGCAGCAATGAGGAGTGCCGGGTGATAGTTGTCAATGGGTGACAGTGGATCCAATCATTCCTGCACGGAGACTGTCTCATTACATAAGATCAAGTTAAGAATCTTACCATATTTGTTTATTCAATATTCCGTTATATTGTTCAAGGGCTCCGACTTGTAATTCATCCCTCAGCATATACTAGTCACTGCTACAAACATTGATAGGCGATAAAGTTTTATTATTTGAATGTCAGACAATACCACTCATGTAACATCATCATCATCATCATCATCATCATCAACAGCCTTTAATAGTCCACTGCTGGACATAAGCCTCTCCTTAGAAAGGAGGTTTAATAAGCATAATAATAGCCCTATAATTAAGCATTTGTCTAACGGATTATTTAACACGTCCTTATTGGCACTATTAAGAAAGTTTGATAGTTGTGCAGAAAAATACAAGTCTCGGTTCTGTTTACACAAGTATACAACACATATATTTAATTTGAAATGCGTCCTAGTGCCTTTAATTTTGATAATATATGTTTAAATTAGCGTTAGCCATTGTTAATATACCTAAAAATAACCGTTTTTAGCTAGATAACTAGAACGGCCGAAATTAAATTGCAGTAAACTAGATTTGTCGGTAATAACATTTAGATAAAATTTAATAGAGGGGTAGCCAGCAATACATTTACAGTTGAATAATAATAATAATAATATTTCGGACATCTGACGCACAACGCCATCTAGTTTCAAACTAAGCAGAGCTTGTGCTATGAAAGCTAAATTGACTGATAGACACAGAAGTCGTATACGCTACCTCCTGCACCACCGAGGCAGTCGAGAATATTACTACAGTTAGAATAACGTGCTCGGTAATAGAAATATCATACCGGCGATATAAACAATAGCGAGCGGCGAACACGGCTTGGGTGCTAAACCATTTACATAAATTGTACATCCTTTTTGAAAAAAAAGTTGAACCGACTTCAAAAAATACTAACAATTAGCACTCAAAATTAAAAAACAAATTACAAATTTAATTGAAAAAAACCAAAATAACTGCGAACCTCAATATAAGAGGTAACATTATAATAGCAATAGATAACTTTTAGTCTGTTTGAAGTCGGTATATTATTGAAAGAGTTATCCTCTAACTAATAAAGGTCAAAGACCCTAACATCATCAGCTCAGCAACATGACATAATGACTACCAAACGCAAATACCTGTATAGCTAGAGAAAAAACCTAAAACACGTTGTCTGGGCTGTAAAATTTGAGGGTGTCCCTTGATTTCTCTGGAAACCCATTGTCAGATCTTGATTTGGTGGTAATGGGACCACCTCGGGAGTATACCCTTTCGATTACAAAAATATTTTTTTAAATCAGTTCACAATTGACGGAGACATCTCGTAACAAACATACAAAAGTAAAACAAAAAAGGTTTGTGTCAAGTTTTCCTTCTGTCTGCAGTGCTGTTGTCCTGCGTAGTTTTGCTCCCTTAGTCGCCTCTTACTACACCAACGGGATGAATAGAGGTGCTGACACTCTGTATTCTTAATCCGTCACCACACGGACACCGTCCTCTTTACGGAGATGAATCTTGCCATGTTTTACCCATATATGCTTGAAGCCTTTCTCCCTCGCTAGAACTTGAGTCTTGTTTAAAAGTTTTTTATATATTCTGAGTTTAGGTGGTCATTTATATATATCCGTTGTGTTGGACCCTCAACACTGTAACTTTTGAAAACGACTTTTGACCTTGAAAGCTTTGTAACAGTTTTTTACCATGTTGAACCCCTAATTTTAATACAATACAGTATTTTTTAAATTATTGTCTCTTCTAAAATATACTTTAGAATAACAAAAGTGATGATCAGGGGTATTAATATTATCATAATCGGTTCAGGCATTTAGAAGATTACCCGAAACAAACAGGAATAGGTATCGTGCAAATAACCGTATGAGCATGAAAAACACCTATTATTTTGACATCACAAACGTTTTTGATTTTCATACGTGTCCACTAATAATGTCTAGTCATTGGCGGTATTTATAATTAAGTACGGCTTTTTTTAAGTTTTTTTTTGTTGAGCCTTCCTTTGCAAACGATGTTAGTTCTATAGTGTAGTGTTACTCCTTTTCCTCTCGACAGTGATAAACTTATAGCTTTGCGTATGATTTGTAATACCCTATCATGGCTACGTGAATAATGTCTAATAGCGCCTTACAACCTAGCATTAAGGGCCTGGCTGTACCTATTTCCGCACTGCACATCGTACAGGCCTATCATCGTCATCGTACTAATACTTTTTTAATATACATATTGTAAATATGTACTAACCTGTAAAGCGTGTTATTTCTCAAGCTCAGATCAATTACACAGCCAAGAATTCACTCGCGAACTTCTCAATAACTAAAGGAGCAGCTTGCTAAAAACACCAAGAGTCTTCACACAGGATTATCGAAAAAAAAAACTAACAAAAAGTACGTGAATACAAAAATGGAATGGTTTAAATTACAGTTTGCGGTGTTTAAAAGGGTTTCGTTTTCAAAGCGTCTACGTACGTTCGAAACTTAAAAAAAGAAATATGAGGCCGCCATACTGGTTTTCAAGGGTTGGGGATGGATTAAGTGGCACTTTAAAGTACCGCCCTGCGGAATAAAAAATATGGCCGCCATATATGATTGAGACGAGAACTGCACGTCACCTAGAGCTTTAATCTTCTAATTGCAACGAGACGGTGTTGATTTGAAAGCACAAAACTTCCCTAAACGTAGGCACGGGTGTTTCTGAAAAGATCCAAAGTAATTGTGACTGTGCAATACTGTTTAAGTATTCCAAGATAAAAAAATTAACGTTTGCCTAATTCATACTTTTAAAAAAAACTGGCTATTTTTTTTAAAGTTTGAAGTTTTTTCTGAATATAAATAACCAGCTTATACTTTCGGTTCCACCCACGTGTAAGTCAGTTTTCGCGGTAAAAAGAAGGCTATGTTAATCACTGATAGTAGCTTTCCATTGGTGAAAGAATTTTATCGGAAATCGGTATAGTGGTACGTAAAGGCGTAACAAACAAAATTTCTTTCACATTTATATTATAACTATAGATGTATCATTTTGTCAATAAATTTATTGAGTTTCTGAAAATGAACTTATATTAAACAAGGAAGAGAACTAATTTAAATTTTGTTAACTGATTCAGACGTCCGTAGGGAACAATACCTTTTCGGAATACAAGGTGTTTTATGTCCTTTTTTGTATCTATGATAACGTCCGTTCAAAATTTCATGATGAACTGTTGATAAATGAGACTATTCCGAGAATCACTCCGGTCGAGCCGCCACATTTCCATTAACACAATTCGACTAAGGGGCCATTCATAAAACACTTCACACGAATTTTAGGGTTTTCTTATCCCTACCCCTTGTCTTACCTCCTTGTCACAACTGGTCTGAAATTATTCTCAATTTCATTTAAATTATTTTCAATAATTTCAACATAACATAAACATTGACTAAAATCAACATTAAATCTCACTTTGTTGAACTCCCCTCCCCCCCTCTCCCTTTTTCTATGTGATGTAATTTATGAATGGTTCCTAAACTAAAGAATAAAACAAACAATTATATAAAAAAACATTAGCTTGTGTGGCTAAAAGGCTACAGTTCAGCCGACGCCATGGCTTCTATGAGTGATGCCACGCCTAACAGAAAACTGGTGTTTAAGGTTACCAGAGCACTGAGTTTGACTGCACGGATGGCGTAGTGGTTTAAGCGGTCGCCACGCCGCTTCCTAATGCGCTTAGTGTTGTGGGTTCAAACCCCACATGGGACGACACTTTGTGTGATCCACAAATTGTTGTTCTGAGTCTGGGTGTTCTTTGTGTCCGTTTCATGTATGTTTGTAAAGTCCCCCGCGACACAGGATACATTCCTAATGCGGGAGTTGTCTTTTCAAAAAAAAAAAAAAAAAAAGAGGCTTAATCCCTTTCCCTTAATCCTAAGTTGCAAGTGACCATGCGCTTTATACAATAAAAAGCGTGGACCATTAAGGTATGAAGACCATAGTGTATTTCAATTCATGATGTAGGTACATCGATGTCAATCGTTATCATTATCCTTAATGGTTCACTGCTGGACATAGGCCTCTCCTCAGAAAAGAGGTTTGGGCCTACTATACTACGCTGAAAAGACGGGTTGGTATAGGGTTTGTTTCAAGTTTGCCTTCCCTTTGCATTGCTGTTGTCCTGCGTAGTTTGCTCCCTTAGTCGAAGAAGAAGGAGTATTTTGTAGTGTGACGTGTGTATGTCTGAGTTATAATAGCTCATACACATGCTATGTTTCGACCGGAGTGACACCACAGCCTCACGAAAAATCGGTGTTAAGCAATTCTTTCGTTGATTTCATCGAGTAAGTGAGGCTACGGCAGCCCAAATCCGGAGGAACTCGTGCTGGTGTAATCAATTTGAAACTTGGTATCCTGTGATTTCAGTGATATTAGAATGATAAGTTAACCTTGACCTCTAGTTCGGCTATAGGTCTGTCAAGGTCATATACTTGGCCTTTCCTGCTTCACATCTTACCAATTTTTATTTCAAATGAGGACATTTATAACGCCTCTGTCTACTTCTTCGGGAATGAAAGACCTGAGTATGTATGTGTTTGAAGTCTTATCAAACTTGCTAAGCTCAAATGCTTGTGTTGAGTTGATTTACTTCTCTAGTATTTTAATAACAGCCCGACTTCTTATCTATTTAAACATATTTCTACTAAAATAAATAAGAAAAAAAATGTGAATGCGTTCTGAATAAGTTGGCAAAGAAAAAATATTTAACAAAGACCGACCTTCGGGCGTGAAATCACAAACTCAATTATAATGATTTCTCTGAGTTCTTTTTTTATATGCGTTACCTGTGAGCCAGGTAGTGTGTACAGACTTCTTCCGTAACCGTAGTAACACAGGGCACGTTCTCAGTTATCTATTACAAAATGTGTTGAGAACACGTATTTCATTTCAACGTCATCTGCGTACTTGCATTTATCTACAACGGTATCGTGTTTGATGTTTGATAATATAACCAATCTTGTGATAATACAGTCAGTTTTTCCTTACGTTTCATACAAATACCATGCGACTGATTATATTTATACTATTGAACGTATTACTTACATCAGGAAGCATGGATATTGTGCAAAATGAAAGAAACAAGCTCTTCAATGAAGGACTGGAAATGATGCTCGGTAATGAAATTCAGTTAAGTGACAGTGAAATAAAAGCAAATGAAATAATTATGGACCTTAAATTAGAAGAACTAGAACACGGTTTCCAGTATCCAAAGAATTTTAAATTCGCAAAGCATTTCTTTGACTATAAAGATGAAGTAAAAGAAACAAAACTGTTCCAGTTGATTAAGAAAATGCCGAAAGGAGCGGTACTTCACGCTCATGATACGGGTATATTGGGACCAGATTACATGGTAGGACTCACCTACTGGAAGGATCTTTACGTTTGTTTTACTGAAGACAGTGTAAAATTCCTTTTTTCTAAAGTTGTGCCTAATGCTACGTGTGAGACAGCATGGCAGCTTATGAGAGATGCAAGATATTCTTCAGGAAATGTTAAGAAATTCGACAGCAGTCTAAGAAAATATTTTACAATGGTAATTGACAATCCTGACAAAACGTACACTGATGTGAATACTGCATGGGAAAATTTTCAAAATTACTTCATAGCTTCTGCACCTTTGTTATGTTATAAGCCTGTCTGGGAGCAGTACTTCTATGATACACTTAAAGCATTAAGAGAAGATGGAGTCATGTACTTTGAAGTAAGAAGTGTGTTACCACAATTGTATGATTTAGAAGGTAGGATTTACAATTCTGTTGAAACTGCTGAATCCTACAAAAAAGTCGTGGAGCAATTCAAAGTTGATTACCCTGATTTTTATGGAGCGAAACTCATATATGCTCCAATGAGATTCGTCAACGAAGAAGCGATAGACGAATACATTGAAACTGCTAGAGAAATTAAAAGAAGATTACCATGTTTCTTAGCAGGATTTGATTTGGTTGGCCAAGAAGATTTAGGGAAACCTCTGAAGTCATTTTTACCTAAGCTTATTGAAGCTGGTAAGGAGTTTGATTTGTTTCTACACGCTGGTGAAACTAACTGGAATGGATTGACTTCTGATGAAAATTTGTTTGATGCCGTAGTTTTAGGTACTAAACGTATAGGTCATGGTTTTGGTATAGTGAAGCATCCAGTGTTGATGAGGGAAGTGAAGCAAAGAGATATTGCTTTGGAAGTTAATGTTATATCAAACGCTGTTTTAAAACTAGTTGCAGATGTAAGGAATCATCCCCTAGCTGCTTTTCTAGCACAAGGTCTGCCAGTGGTTTTATCTAGTGATGATCCTGGGGTTTGGGAAGCAGAGCCTTTGAGTCACGATTTTTATGTTGCATTTGTTGGTGTTGCGAGTAGACACGCAGACTTGAGATTATTGAAGAAGTTAGCGTTGAATTCTTTGTATTATAGTACATATCCAGATAAGGATAAAATAGTGCATGATTTTGAGATCCGTTGGACAAAGTTTATTGATACTGTTGTCAGAGATAAGTGGTGATTTTGAATCTCAAAAACAGTCATCCGTGTAAATAAAAGTTGTTGATGAATTGATTACATTTGTTAATTATTTTATTTCGTTTCTTTTATTTTTCCTAGCCTCTCTCAAAACCAATATTATCACAGTGTACAGAATACTGAATAAAACTGCTACTTATAATTTAAAACTACTGTGTATACCACCCAGCATCACTAATCTATTGAGTAACCTGTCTAAGCATAGAAGTTTCTGTGTCAGGTCGCTGAACACTTATCGAAATAATTTGAGAAATAAAAATGTTAACGTGATGACGGATTAAGAATACAGAGTGTCACCACCCCTATTCATCCGATTATGGGAGAAAACTACGCAGAACAACAGCACTGCAGAGAGAAGGAAAACTTGACACAAGCCCTATGAAAACTCGTCTGGCCAGCGTGGTATAGTAGGCCAAAACCTCCTTTTTACTATATACTACTATGTCCAGCAGTCCAGCAGTCTACTATCAAAGGCTATTGATGTGATGATGATGATGTAAGTATTTAAATAGACTACTTGCATCATATCACAATCATTTTCCCGAAGGCTGAAACGCGTATCGTTCGTATCACTGACTTTCATATACTCACGCCTAAATTCCGATCGGGGCAGGCAGAGGTGATGGAACGCCATTTGGCACGATCCTAACATAAAGCTCGAGCCTCTTCCACATTCATCTTACCTTTTACGGGTGATTTTTTCGAGGCCTTTTTTCAGTATACAAATATAATTATTATAATTGTATACTAAAGAATAAAACTAATAAAGAACGCACGAATGTGACGTCAGATGGCGTAGTGGTTTAAGCGGTCGCCACAGCGCTTCCTACTACTCTGAGTGTTGTGGGTTCGATCCCCACATGGGACAACACTTTGTGTTATCCATAAATTATTGTTCTAAGTCTGGGTGTTCTTTGTGCCCGTTTCATGTATGTTTCTAAAGTCCCTAAAGTCAGGATATATTATATTTTAGAAAAAAAAACATTAAATAATTTTATATGTATCTTTCACTAGGTATCTAATACGTAGTCTTTGAGAATTTGTTTTAAATGAAACCTGAAGATAACATAACTTATTCCATTAAAATATTAGTCTATTAAAACTGACAACTAACACACACACAAAAAAATCGAGTAACCTCACTAACTCGGTGAACAACAACAATGGAATTTATATTTAAAAAAAAGTCCTTAACACCGATTTTCTATGAGACATTAATCCAGTCGAGTCAGGCCGATTTGTGAAGAAGCAGGGCTCTCCTACGGATAGATTGTGCTGGATTATATATTGGGTTCAGTGGTTAAATAACAAAACTGCGAGTAGGTATAACAACGGGTGTATTGGACGCCAATCTGGTTAAAAATCTTACTACTACTTATTAAATGTTTGTTACTCATACCAGAATATAAATAATAAAATATATATAAATATAAAAATTTAGCAAAAGGGATAAATTATGGTCTGGATCTACGATTATAATCGTCGTATAAATCAACATCTGATTGAGTGGTTTGTTGTTTAAATGTCTAAAATTAATGTCGACGTTTAAATGATGTTTTCTAATCATGCCAATTCATTGATTCTAAATCGACAGACAATCTTATCTCATAATATACGATTAGATTATGAATATTTGGAGATATTTTTAAAATTACTATTTTACACATCATTTTGTCATTCGTCTGTCTGTGTGGCAGGAAAAAAATTGGTACATATGTAAAACCTGCGTGTCAAGCAAAAACAGTTATAACACATACATACCAAAGGGCTGTGCGATGAATGCCACGTTTGACAATAGCAAAAATAAATCGGACTTGTTGGTCTAGTGGTTAGTGACCCTAACTGCGGAGGTCGTGGGTTCGATTCCCACCCAGGACAAATATTTGTGTGCACGTCCATTTGTTCTGTGTCTGAATTATTTAGAACTATATAAGTATGTTTATCAGCAGTCTGGTTACCATAGCACAGGCTCTGCCTAGTTTGGGAAACTTATCAATCTTTTCATCAACAATATATGAAATAAAAGAAAAAAAAAAATTTTTTTTACATTTGCGGTAATGAATGACAATTGATGATTTGCAGCTAAATGCCTGAACATTACTACGTAAAGGTATTATAAAAATATATAATATAAAAACGGTAGGTTAGTACCCTGGTCATAGACAATCGAATTCTACTCATATTTGTCTAGAGTTTCAAGCGTGAAAAGATTTAATATTATTGCTTTAATGAATGAGATTTAACCGATATAAAAACTATCAAATACCACAATCTGTAGCCAAATCCTTGCGTTATCTACTTTAATTACATTTCATGGCGCCATTTGTTACACACGGTTATTCCAATTGTTTTTTCGGAAGTAACCACATTTTTGACCGAATTTTAAAAAACGGGAGGAGGTTCTAAATTGTCTTTTACATTAGAACTCCGTGCTTTTAATCTCATTCAAGTTTCAAAACTTGAAAGGGGACTTCAAAACAACGCGCTTGTGACTCAAAAGTTGCAGGCGTTCATGGTCGGAAGTAGTCACTTTCCATCGGGTGACGAATAAAAATAGTACCACGAAAAAATAGTACCACAATAGTACCACACACACACAAGGAGTGAAGAAGTAGAGTTTATTACAAATCATCATCATCAATGATGTATGTGCGTTAGAGCCGATGATGATTTTTTTAAAGTTAATTACAAGATTTTTCTTATGACCTGTTTTGATTTGTTCTTGTCTTCATTTTTCAAGATAATTTTGACCTACTTTTGCAACACGAACACACGCGCAAAAATCGGGTTAAGTATACAGAAAGCTTTAAAAATTTCACGTTCTATCGACCCTTGAAAGATGAAAATGGTCTGACAATTTCTATTGAACGTAACATTAACATGACAAGTTTAAATACTACCTAAAACAAGTTAGCAATGATAACCGGACGATTAAAAAAACATAAACATTTAAATAAACTTTCTTCTAAATAACAAAAAAAAAAATCTATTGTATTCAAAATTTTAATAAAAACACCCTTTTTCTCAAATGTATAATTTTATGAGTGATAACGTTTTTCGTGTATATAATAAAAAAATACAAGAATAATAGTATTTTCTACCAAACATTTTTATGAAAAGGATCACAAAACCCTACACTTCCTCTTCCAAATGAACCAAAGCGGTCGCTCGTTATGCAAGACAAAAATAATCGTGAAAAATAAACCTACATGGCAATAACATTTCAATTAATTTTCAAAAGTATCAGTCATCCGGAAAGAGTAGATAAGTAAACGTAGGTATGATATGTTTTTTTCCAGGAGGTGCTTTATCTGTTCCGTAATCTGTTGTATAAGACTGTGTAATGCAAGTGTGCATACGTGTGCGTAAGAATGTGTGTGTACATGTGCCTGACAGCTAGCCTGCGTGAGTGCTTCAGTATATGCGGCCGTGCATAGGTCTGTGCGTTTATGCATACAAAATATTTTACACACTTAATTATTTATGAATTTTTTAACCTCAGTAATTTATGGACACATCTTACTACGAGTATAACTATTTACCGTAATGGAATCAGTTAAAATACTTAAAATGCGAATTTAGCAGTGTATGCAAAAGATGATCACATACTTTTTTGGAATCCCCCTAACTATCTAAAATGGTATTGGGATGGGATTATCAGCAGTTGAACCGATTTATAATAAAAAAAATTGACAACACCCGCATTAGGAATACATCCTGTCATACATCCTGGGGGACTTTACACATACATGAAACGGACACAGAGAACACCCAGACTCAGAACAACAATTTGTGGATTACACAAAGTGTCGTCCCATGTGGGGATCGGACCCACAACACTCAGCGTAGTAGTGAGCAGCGTGGCGACCGCTTAAAACCACTACGCCATCCGTGCAGTCATCAGTCATCACTACGCCATATTCGTATTAGGAAACCTGTGATATCAGTATTAGTTCCTTGCCGAACACTGATAATATTTTTTTATGATAAAAGAGACTATTATTTGGTAATATTCTATATATACCGATATAATTCGATAATTATAATATCTATCAAGATAAGGAAACATTCAATTTGTACACTATTGTTGGGCGCCAAACAAATTAAGCCATGTGGCTTAATTTGTTTATGACTGCACGGATGGCGTAGTGGTTTAAGCGGTCGCCACGCCGCTTCCTACTGCGCCGAGTGTTGTGGGTTCAAACCCCACATGGGACGACACTTTGTGTGATCCACAAATTGTTGTTCTAAGTCTGGGTGTTCTTTGTGTCCGTTTCATGTATGTTTGTAAAGTCCCCCGCGACACAGGAATGTATTCCTAATACGGGCGTTGTCTTTTATAAATAAAACTTTAAAACTTTATGTAAAGGGCATGAACGGGGCAACTAAGAGTGACATGGGGTCTGGGGAGTGATTGTACTGACGTCACACTGGTAAAAGTTTAAGTATTTAAACACAATTTTTTAACAGTAAACGAAAATACAAAAAGAAATACCTCGTGTCAAGACAATTCCTTGTGGTGACGGATTAAGAATACATAGTGTTACAATCCCTGTTCACCCAGTGGGTGTCGTAAAGAGCCGACGAATTGAGCAAACTACGCAGGACCATAACACTGCAAAGAGAAGGAAAACTTCAAACAAACCCTATACCAACCTGTCTGGCCAGCGTGGTATAGTAGGCCAAATTCAAACTCAAATATCTTTATTTCATAATTTTTTTTTTTTTTTGAATCGTCTCTTGTGTAGCCTCTAAAGTCATAGATCAACACATACAACTGTTTTGTCTTTGTGTCGAAAATCTCTTATATGCCTGTCCCGATCTACAAACGCCCATTTCCAAGGGGTTAAGCCTCATGAGAAGAAAGGGCAAACAAACTCACGGCCACTCTTTTCAATCAACAGATAACAATCGCATCATTTAGTATAGACAACATTGTTTTGATGTGTGCCAGTATATGAGTTTTACCTCCTTTCTAAGGAG